TTTCGTTCCTAGTTGGTTCTGTAATCTGTTGATTGAGCGAGAATTTGTCACAGAATCTCAAAAGTTCTCTGACCTGTGGTTGGTTATTTCCCGGGTCATTCCCTGCTATGATATTTGTGTTTGCCATTCTCCATCTTAGACTCGGTAAATTGAAATCTCCAAGGAAGAAAATATCCGGAGCTGGGTTTGCTAGGTTATCAAGTATGTTCTCTATTTTGTGCATCTGCTCTGTGAATTCCTCAACCGTTGTATCTGGCGGTTTATATATTAGAATAATAATTAGGTTTAGTATTCTACCTTAATTCCAAGTACCTCCACCACCTCATTAGTTGAGTTTAGTAGTTCTGTGCATACCAGGTCTTCTTTAATATACAGACCTACTCCTCCATTTGACCTAGTTTTTCTATCACATCTATATAAACTATAATTTGGAATCCAGATTTCACCATCCATGTAATCTTTAGTATGAGTTTTTGTGAATGCCCCAAATATTGAGTTTGACTCTAATAGGAGGCTATTTGTGAACTTAACTTTATTCCTTGACTTTGGCTTTAAACTTTGAATGTTTGCAAATATGAATGATTGTCCATATTGTGTGTCACTTCTGGAAGGTTTTGGTAGTTCTCCCTCCTCTCTACCCTGACCCAGGGTGTGTTGTTGTGGCAATGGTTTGTTCAGTTTTGGAAGTGATACTGGGGAGTGTGGTAGTCTCTGTGTAGTTGGGGGGTGTAGTATGCGTGGGCAAGTCCTGTGAGGCAGGACTTGCCATCTTTGAACCCATGTTGATGCTATGTTACAAAGTTTTTTCAGTGTGAAGACCAGGTCAAGTCTCGCTGGTTCATCATTTCCTCTCATTCTTGTGGGTTCCTTGATATGCTGGCTTAAGAAGTTTCCTGTCGCCACCTCCAATAGTTTAGCCCTCCATATATCTTCACCTCAATGCGGTTCCTCGTCCTCCCAGTCTATCCTTCCGTGATTGAAGTCCCCGATGATAAGCAGATGGGGTCTATTTCTACAAGCAGCAGAGACTGTCCTCTCAATTATAGTGTTAACTGCAATGTTATTGTTGTCATACTCTTGCTTGGGTCTTCTGTCATTTAGTGGAAGGTTATATATCACTGCTACTACTATTCTTGGTCCTCCCATTGTCATGGTGCCTGTTATGTAGTCTCTGAATCCCTCACAGCCCGGGATAGCCATCTCCTTGAAACTCCATTCATTTCTCATTAGGAGGGCCACTCCACCTCCTCCCCTACCGTCCCTCTCTCTTTTCTTATTACTGTATAGTCCTGGGGCTAAACAGGAGAGTATATAAATGAACATTTAGACCACATGAAGTTAGCCAAAATGACTGTCGACGAGACTGATGAGGAAGATGACAATGAACTTACCCAGACAGATTTTTCTATTGGGACACCATCTACTGTGGTTGACAGACCACTTGTTTTACAGCCACCCCATACTAGCACCTTTAGTCATAGATCTAGATCTTTCGTTTCAGCCGTGCACTCACCACATGTCCATTGGCTAGATGTCGATGAGTTTACTTCTCAAGATGAAAGTTTGTCACAAGCAGTTTCATCTGTTCCTGACCTTCAGTCAGAGCCAGAGTTGTATAGTGCTTTGGAAAAACTAGGTGTAGATATCCACAGAATTTATAATTAAGTGCATTCTGCAGTTATTCTGTTTTCTTTGGAAAATTCACTTCAAAGTATTTCTACCTCATGTGTCCTATTATTACCATTATATATATATAAGCATAATAAAGAAGTTTTTTCAAATTTATTTTGTCATAAATCAGGTGCCATTGTTAAGTCTACTGTGACATTTGTGTTCCTATAGTGCATGTCATCAAACGTTCCATTAAATTTCTAGCCACCAGCCTGAGACTAGTGATTCCTGACTGCTGTCACTCACATGTTAGCCTTTTCGATCCAGTCCTTGTATATAGCTTGTAAATATATTGTACATAATTATTTTTTCTGTTATCTAATCTTAAGATTCCTTTGTGGTTGTTAGGTCAGACCTTTGTTCTAATGAAGCAGATAATTGTCTTTAATTATTTTCCAAGCACAGGCCATTAACACATGTTAATAATTTTGTTTTAGGGACCACATTGAATAGTATTGTTCATACCTGATACCTAGACATGTATATGTTATCTTGAGATGATTTCGGGGCTTTTTAGTGTCCCCGCGGCCCGGTCCTCGACCAGGCCTCCACCCCCAGGAAGCAGCCCGTGACAGCTGACTAACTCCCGAGTACCTATTTACTGCTAGGTAACAGGGGCATTCAGGGTGAAAGAAACTTTGCCCATTTGTTTCTGTTCTCCATGCTCTTGTTCAGTTCAAGCAGTGTCATCATGATTTTTCACCCACTATGTTCTAACTTTTTTTGTGCACATGCCGACGGTGTTAGTATTCCACACACCTGAGCTTCCTTTAATGTTTAATATGCTATTTCATATGTAAGCAATTATTGAATGCCACTGAGGTCCTTTTCAATATCATTGTAACTATCTAGCTAGTCAGAGCTTGTCGATAAGGGAAGTCAACTTGGTAGCGAGTCCGAGCGGTGTTAGTATTCAAATTGTACGACGGTTGGGGATAGCCAATCACAATCAAGTAAGCCTCTGACGTCATTCTGCACAGAGAGCTGGGACTAGCCGTTCTGGTGACCAGTCAGTATCTCACAGACCTCAGAGTAGGAAGGACCTCGGCAGACCAGATATATACCTTGTTACCTTACACAATAAACTACTGAAGTGATCCACTGTATTCTCTACTATCCAACAACAACCATACATCCAAGAAGGTAACTAATATACTGCTAGGTAACAGGGGCATCAGGGTGAAAGAATCTCTGCCCCAATTGTCTCTGCCGGCGCCGGGAATCGAACCCGGGCCACAAGATTATGAGTCCCGTGCGCTATCCATTCAGCTACCAGACCCCGTGTGTATGTGTACACTAACAGACCCTGTGTGTGTGTGTGAGTATGTACACGTGTGTGTTATCACCTAGTTGTACTCACCTAGTTGTGCTTACGGGGGTTGAGCTTTGTCTCTTTGGTCCCGCCTCTCAACTGTCAATCAACTGGTGTACAGATTCCTGAGCCTACTGGGCTCTATCATACCTATATTTGAAACTGTGTATGGTGTCAGCCTCCACCACATCACTTGTTAGTACATTCCATTTACTAACTACTCTGACACTGAAAAAATCTTTCTAATGTCTCTGTGGCTCATCTGAGGTTCGTGAGGTTTACAGGTTCCTGAGCCTATTGGGCTCTATCATATCTACACTTGAAACTGAGTATGGAGTCAGCCTCCACCACATCACTTCCTAATGCATTCTATTTGTCTACTACTCTGACACTGAAAAAGTTCTTTCTAACGTCTCTATGGCTCACTTGCACACTCAATTTCCACCTGTGTCCCCTAGTGCGTGTGCCCCTTGTGTTAAATAGTCTGTCTTTATCTACCCTATCTATTCCTCTGAGATTCTCGTATGTGGTGATCATGTCCCCTCTAACTCTTCTGTCTCCCAGTGACGTGAGGTTTAATTCCCGTAGTCTCTCTTCGTAGCTCATACCTCTCAGTTAGGGTGGCAAACCTTTCAACCTTTTCCAGTTTAGTCGTGTGTGTGTGTGTGTGTGTGTGAGTGTGTGTGTGTGTACTCACCTAGTTGTGTTTGCGGGGGTTGAGCTCTGGCTCTTTGGTCCCGCCTCTCAACCGTCAATCAACAGGTGTACAGATTCCTGAGCCTATCGGGCTCTGTCATATCTACACTTGAAACTGTGTATGGAGTCAGCCTCCACCACATCACTTCCTAATGCATTCCATTTGTCAACCACTCTGACACTAAAAAAGTTCTTTCTAATATCTCTGTGGCTCATTTGGGCACTCAGTTTCCACCTGTGTCCCCTTGTGCGTGTTCCCCTTGTGTTAAATAGACTGTCTTTATCTACCCTATCAATTCCCTTCAGAATCTTGAATGTGGTGATCATGTCCCCCCTAACTCTTCTGTCTTCCAGCGAAGTGAGGTTTAATTCCCTTAGTCTCTCCTCGTAGCTCATACCTCTCAGCTCGGGTACTAGTCTGGTGGCAAACCTTTGAACCTTTTCCAGTTTAGTCTTATCCTTGACTAGATATGGACTCCATGCTGGGGCTGCATACTCCAGGATTGGCCTGACATATGTGGTATACAAAGTTCTGAATGATTCTTTCTGAACGTTCTGAACGTTTCTATTAACAATATATATATATATATATATATATATATATATATATATATATATATATATATATATATATATATATATATATATATATATATATATATAATACACGTTTCTAAGCATTCACTTCACCTGTGTTCTCAACGTGAGGCACCCACTACACCACATAACGGAAGTGCTATGCTATGATGTACGACCACACAAGTGAAGCGCCTCCTGGCTCCCTCCTACCCCCCACACTTTCCACATGCACCTCGACAATAAGAAGCACCTCGCAGCTCACAAGTACAACAGATCTTGTGGTGTTGTGACAATATATCTCGTGGTCACTACTGTATTTCGGGCCGTGATATATGGTGTTGTTACCACTGATAATATGGACACTATCGTATTGAAGGCAGAGACAAATGGTTTTATGATAATGTTGTGGTCATAACTGCCTTTGGAACAGTGACAAATGGTCGTTTAACATTGACGCTCTGGTCACTGCTTTGGGAACACTGACTAGTTTTGTTGTGATCACTAATCTTCTGAGCAATATATTTTTGTGTGCAGAGATAAATGGTGTTGTGACTACTGATGTTCTCGGCACTACTGTATTGATCACTGCATGACCACTCTATGTTGGTGGCGCGAGACAGTGTTGTGATCACTGGTGGTGTGGTCACTACTGTGGTGGGGGAAGGGGAGACTAGCGGTGTAGTGACCACTGATGATGTGGTCACTACTGTGGTGGAGAGAGACAAGAGATGTGGTGACATACCTGTTGATCCCGTCGTAGCCAGCACCAATCCCAACGTAATCAACACCAGCCATCGACCTCACGTGGTTGATGTGAGCTGTGGAAGATGATTGTTGTTACCCCTCTGATACATGGTGTGACCCCTTTGTTACCCTCTGATACATGGCGTGACCCCTTTGTTACCCTCTGATACATGATGTGACCCCTTTGTTACCCTCTGATACATGGCGTGACCCCTTTGTTACCCTCTGATACATGGCGTGACCCCTTCGTTGCCCTCTGACACATAGTGGGACCCCTTCATTACCCTCTGACACATGGTGTGACCCCTTCATTACCCTCTGACACATGGTGTGACCACTTCGTTACCCTCTGACACATGGTGTGACCACTTCGTTACTCTGACACATGGTGTGACCCCTTCTTCACCCTCTCTGGCATATGTATGACTGTTTTGTCACCCGCTGACTTTCAACAAGGACATAACGTTTTTCAACCGTTCCTGAATGGCCGTAAAAACGTAACACTGTAACGTTTTATTAAAGTTTGTAATTAAAACATCTTAAAAAAAACTAACATTATTCAGATAATGCAGAGGCATAATTTCTTTCAATTGTATTTGACATGTTTAATATAATATTGTATATTATGCCTTCCTTCATGACAGCCTGGTATGATGCTGCTAGGGAGTAAAGCAGGCTACATTGGGGAATGCAGGCTGGATGGAAAGAAGGAAGGCAGGCAGGGCGACAGGGAGGAATGAAGACTGTCAAAGAGGAATCCACAAAGCCAGGCAGGCTGAAAGCTGGAAGTGAGGAAGGCAGGCTGGCAGGGACGATGGCAGCTTTGTAGACATCAAGGTTGGTTGGCAGGGAAGAATGTAGGTGGGTTAGGGAGGAAGGCAGTCTGGCAGATAGGAAAGCAGGATGGTAGAGAGAGAGGTTGGTTGGCAGGGAGGAAGGCAGGCATGCAGAGCTGATGGCAGACTGGCAGTTAGGATAGCTGGCAGGATATTTCAGAAATAGACAAAACTACAAGTCACAGTTTAGTGTCATCTTTTGCAGATGACAAAAATCAGCATGAAAATTACTTCAGTTGAAGACAATGAAACTACAACCTGATATTAATAAAATCTTCGACTGAGCAGATGAAAATAACATGATGTTTAACAGTAATAAGTTCCAGGTACTCAGCTTCGGTAAAAATGCGGACCTTAAACATGATACAGGGTACAAAACACAATCAAATATGCGAATAGTGGGAAAGCCACATGTAAAAGATCTGGAAATAATGATATCTAACGACCTAACGTTTAGGGAACATAACTAAGCAAGTATTGCTTCAGCCAGAAAAATTAAAGAATGGATTACGAGAACCTTCAAATCCAGGGATCACATCACAATGGTTGTACTATTCACATCACTTGTGCTGTCCCGTTTTGAGTACTGCTCAGTATTCACTTGCCCCTTCACAGCAAGAGAGGTTGCTGAAACAGAGGGGATACAGAGAACTTATGTGGCATACATAGACGCGATAAAGCACTTAAACTATTGTGATCATCTCAAAGTTCTCAAAATGTACTCCCTAGAAAGAGACGAGAGAGAGATCAAATAAAATGTAAATGGAAAATACTTGAGGGCCAGGTCCCAGATTTACACAGAAAAATAAAACATACTGGAGTGAACAATATGTAGAGAAATGTAGAATAGAGCCAGTGAATAGTAGAGGTGCCATAAGCACACTCAGAGAACACTGTATGAACATCAGAGTCCACGGACACTCAATATTCTCCCAGCAAATATAAGATATATTGCAGGAAGGACGTCTTCAAGTAAAAACTGAATGTCTGTCTGCAAGTGCCGACCAACCAGGTTGTAGTGGATACAATAATTAATCATACAAATACGTAACCTTTCACACTGGCTCAGCAATTTACATTAATGGTATGAATTCCGTCTAGCCTTCCATACTCAGATCAATTCAGGTGATTAATAACGATATTAATCACGACGTTTACGTTATTCTACAATGACGTTACTCTTCCCACGAGTCAATCAAGTACCTGTACTTCCAGACAGATCAATAACGACGTTACGTTAATGGAACAATGGAGCCTTCGTGTGAGTCGATCAATCACGGATCGAAGTTAATTACTTTGACTTCCTGGAACACGTCAATTTCCTGCCCATTGACCGATAATTACGACAGACAATAGCCTAATTCTTGTCTGGCTGATGGCTCCCTGAGGCTACCGTAGCTGTTTTCAGGAAAATAATTAACTCAAACGCATTCTACGTTACTCAAATTGTAAAAGAACAATTTCAACATGAGCAATGGGTGTTCACTTGGTTACGTTATATTAATTAACAGATAAACAGGAAATATATGTGTACCCAAGTACTCGACTCAGCCGAGTTCACCCACGACAATGACAAATCACAGTGATTTACGTTACAATCCGGTTGCAATGACAATACTGCAGAAACCGAGTAAAATAACACAAGGTTCTAGTGGGTTCAGCACATGAACCAACTAGAACACGGCCCCACAATGATTTACAAATCTGCAATACACCCCCGGTGATTGATCAACACTAGCAACAATCACCATCAATGACAACCCCTTTGCAATAACACACATGGCACGTGCATTAAATCAAACTATATTAGTACACTGCCCAACACTTACCGTCTTGTGGCAAATGACAACAGTGCTTTAATTACCACTTAGAACATTGGTCTACACGTTGCAATCACACCCGTTAATAACACACAAATCGCACTGGGCTTCGTGACACTACGAATATATATATATATATATATATATATATATATATATATTATATATATTTTGGTAGCAGTCTTTCCTGTAGACATATATTATTAAATATGACCGAAAAAGTAAGATTAATAATTCTAACACGAATTTTCTCAATCTTTCGTACATTACGCTTCACTGTTGGAGGTAAATCAAAAATCACTTCTCCAAAATTCATTTTTATTTCTAGTCTGACGCGACACGGGCGCGTTTCGTAAAACTTATTACATTTTCAAAGACTTCACAAATACACAACTGATTAGAACTTGCGTTTCCCTGATTTTATATCTACATTTGAGTGAGGTGGGAAGGGTGATGTGGCATTACATTTGAGTGAGGAAGGTGATGTGGCATTAACACAAGACAGAACACTAGGGGATATTAATAGGGTATTAAAAGTATCAACACAAGACAGAACAGAAACAATGGGTATTGAATAGAAGTGTTTGTAGAAAGCCTATTGGTCCATATTTCTTGATGCTTCTATATTGGAGCGGAGTCTTGAGGTGGGTAGAATATAGTTGTGCAATAATTGGCTGTTGATTGCTGGTGTTGACTTCTTGATGTGTAGTGCCTCGCAAACGTCAAGCCGCCTGCTATCGCTGTATCTATCGATGATTTCTGTGTTGTTTACTAGGATTTCTCTGGCGATGGTTTGGTTATGGGAAGAGATTATATGTTCCTTAATGGAGCCCTGTTGTTTATGCATCGTTAAACGCCTAGAAAGAGATGTTGTTGTCTTGCCTATATACTGGGTTTTTTGGAGCTTACAGTCCCCAAGTGGGCATTTGAAGGCATAGACGACGTTAGTCTCTTTTAAAGCGTTCTGTTTTGTGTCTGGAGAGTTTCTCATGAGTAGGCTGGCCGTTTTTTCTGGTTTTATAGTAAATCGTCAGTTGTATCCTCTGATTTTTGTCTGTAGGGATAACGTTTCTATTAACAATATCTTTCAGGACCCTTTCCTCTGTTTTATGAGCTGTGGAAAAGAAGTTCCTGTAAAATAGTCTAATAGGGGGTATAGGTGTTGTGTTAGTTGTCTCTTCGGAGGTTGCATGGCTTTTCACTTTCCTTCTTATGATGTCTTCGATGAAACCATTGGAGAAGCCGTTATTGACTAGGACCTGCCTTACCCTACAGAGTTCTTCGTCGACTTGCTTCCATTCTGAGCTGTGGCTGAGAGCACGGTCGACGTATGCGTTAACAACACTCCTCTTGTACCTGTCAGGGCAGTCGCTGTTGGCATTTAGGCACATTCCTATGTTTGTTTCCTTTGTGTAGACTGCAGTGTGGAAACCTCCGCCCTTTTCCATGACTGTTACATCTAGAAAAGGCAGCTTCCCATCCTTTTCCGTCTCGTAAGTGAAACGCAGCACGGAACTCTGCTCAAATGCCTCCTTCAGCTCCTGCAGATGTCTGACATCAGGTACCTGTGTAAAAATGTCGTCAACATACCTGCAGTATATGGCCGGTTTCAAGTTCATGTCGACTAAGACTTTTTGCTCGATGGTACCCATGTAGAAGTTTGCAAACAGGACACCTAGGGGAGAACCCATGGCGACCCCATCTACTTGCTTATACATGTGCCCATCCGGGCTCAAGAAGGGTGCCTCTTTAGTACAAGCTTGGAGTAGTTTCCTCAGAATACTTTCTGGCATGTCAAGAGGAGTACAGGCTGGATCACGATACACTCTGTCGGCTATCATTCCGATTGTCTCGTCCACAGGTACGTTGGTAAACAGCGATTCTACGTCCAACGAGGCTCTTATCCCTGTGGCCCGTGCGCCCCGCAGTAAGTCCACAAATTCCTTTGGAGACTTCAGGCTGAAGGCGCAAGGAACATAAGGAGTCAGCAGGCCGTTGAGTCGCTTCGCCAATCTGTACGTGGGTGTGGGTATCTGGCTAATGATTGGCCGAAGTGGGTTTCCAGGCTTGTGCGTCTTGACATTTCCATACGCATATCCAGGTTTATATTCCCCAATGATCTTTGGCAGGTGGAGTCCGGATTTCTTGGCGTTCACAGTTTCGATCAGTTTGTTGACCTTTGCTTTTAATTCGGCTGTAGTGTCCTTCGTTACCCTTTGGAACTTAGTTTGGTCAGAGAGTATGATGTTCATTTTCGCCAGATATTCGTCTTTTTTAAGAATGACATATATTGGCGACTTGTCACCTCTCCTGACAACTATCTCCTTGTTCTCACGAAGGCTTTTAGCTGCCGCTCTAAGCTCGGGGGACAGTATGGTGCTTCTGTAGTTGCCTCGATTGCTTTCCTCCTCCTGCAAT